GTTTCTTCAAAATTCAAGCATAGAAAGCTTGTTTTGATAATAGTAATCAACCTAAATCCCTCTCTCCTTGACCGGCCATTATTTCCCATTTGGTGCCTCTGATGTCATCCCATTATGGTATGAAGTATCACCATTGATTTTCCTTTATTCCCCCTTAAAGTTAAATCCTCATCTTTCCCTTACTTCACACATTTTTCTCCCCAAAGTCCAGACCGCATTTTGGCTTTTGAGTACCAGCAAAACTCACCAAAGATCATCCCTTCTCCCCTCTCAAAAACCTTCCCTCGAAGGCCCCTACTGTCGGAGTCCCGAGCGACCGCACACAAGCTCCGAGAGTCGCTTCCAAGTTGCACGCGAGACACGCACGCCGCTGTGACCTGACGAGGAGCCTTCGTCTGTGGCCCATACGCAGATCGCTGAGCCCAGCGAGCCAGTTGTTTGCTCTGTGGTATGGGGTTGAGAAGGTTTACTAGTGTTGTGATTTTCTGTTTCAGAGATTTGGGTTGAAGGTTTGGTTGAAGGAGAGGGTTTAGAAGGAGAGGTTGCACTTGGTATAGGAGATTCAGAATTGACATTTTGAGGGGAATTTGTGTTTAGATGAGGATAATCTGGAGCTCTCAGCCAATCCCCAAATAATCCTTCCTTCACTTTCCCATTCATTATATCTGCTGATCTAACTTCACAGTTCCTGTCCAAGTGGCCTAATAAGCCACAATAGTAGCATAGACTCACTACCTTCTCATATTTAAAGTCTACCACGATTTTTCTATTTTGAAGCATTAGGGATGCACATCTCAACAATGGTTGATCCAAATCAATAGATATTAGCAGCCTGATACATTTACCTGCTAACCATCCATTGTGGGGGATGGAGACATTCTTGACCTTGTTGAATACACTTTCAATCTTAGCCCCACTTCAGTTGAGCACCAATCAAGAGGTAGGTTCCAAGCCTGAACCCATAAATCAAGTTCTTTGAAGCTGGGATGATTAGAATAAAAATCTTCCTGCTAGTCTTTAAGAATGAGGAAGTCGTTTTCAAATGTCCAGGCAGTGCCTTTGCTCACTTTGATTTTGTCTTCAATATCCTTAAACACAAACTGAAAGTAGTTTGTGTTGAGCTCGCGAATAGAAACAGAAGACCTAATCTGCCAAATAATTCCAATCGCTCTCCTTAGGCCTGAATTTTGCCGAACAGACTCCTTTTACAAATTACCGCACTGCTATGAATGTCTGTTGGGTCCAGGGCTATATGGTTTGCCTCCTTAACTTAGAGTTGGAAGGATGTCAATTTCTAAACAATTTCTTCTTCCATGATGCAATTACTGAGATGTTAAATCCAAGGGATACTGAATAAACAACGAATCTTCCGCACCTTAAATAACAAACAACCAAAATACCAAGATGAGAGACCGAAAAGGGGAAAAACAAGGAACAATAAAAAAGAGGAAAGGAAAACGGAAATAATGTTGAGTAGAATTGAGAGAATAATCTCTAGTAAACGGCCTTCAATGGAGACACTTCATCTACTCCGGCGAGAGTAATTAGGCTCCCATTGTGAGAGGAACATTTTTTGTAAGAATTTGTTTCTTGAAAAATTTTATATAAAGTTTATTTTATTTTATTTTATTTTTTTTCAGTATAAAGTTTTGTTGAAAAATCAATTTTTATTTAGCATTTGTACTGAGAGGACATTTTTGTCCTTTCAATGCCTTGCTAGTACCGTCGATTTTGGTGGTTCTAGGGCATTGGAACTTGGAAGGCTTTGCAGCTATTTATCAACCCTCGATTTTTCGAATATAATCAAAATTATCGCAGAGCAGCAGCCACAGATTAGAATCAAACAGAAGAGGAAAAACCCAAAAGAAGGTCCTCAAAACCCATCGATCGCAAATGGCCTCCAGAATTTCTCTCAAGGCGGGGAAAGGCAAGATCTTGAAAAAATCTCCGGCGGTGGACGAGGAGGAGGGTGCGGCGGCGGTGGCGGCGAAGTTCGTGAAGGAGTGGGGCACCTGGGCCATGAAGAAAGCCAAAGTTGTCACTCATTACGGTTTTATTCCTCTGATAATTGTCATCGGCATGAACTCGGAGCCAAAACCGTCCCTTTCTCAGCTTCTTAGTCCCGTATAAAGATCGAATTTTTAGGTTTTGTGTTTTTATTTTTTTTAATGTTGGGTTGTGATTGGTTGTTCCACCTACTCTTTTATGTCCATCTGTCGACTTTGCAATTAGGGTTTTTTAAGTTAGTTATGTTTTGATTTGGTGCGATGGATTTGATCGTGTGTCTTGTTGATGGTGGTTCTATGATATGGATTAATAAATACTTTTTTCAGGAACCTGTTTTTAGTTTATGATGTTTTCTTTTATTTGGATAATGATATGATTTCTGTGGACAGTGGTGCTTACATTGTGGTTACATGTTTTGTCTTGGTAAAAAGATTGAGTGTTATTATCATATATTTGGGTGTGGGTGTTGTATGTGAAGTTCCTTGTGGGTATGAATATGAAGGTGTCTAAAGTGTGCTTGCATTTCTGTTTTCATGTTTGTATTCTGAAAAATGAATCTTTTTTGTAGTTTATATGACAAGCAGTGTGATTTGTTGTATCATCTCTGTTTTTGGTGTTAGTTGTAAACTTCTATTTGCCTTGTAACACTTCTAATGCTGCAGAATTTTTATCTGGATTGTTAAATGTAGTTTTGGTGGTTTGGTGGGTATTTCATGCGGTTTCCCATTTGTGATGTTTTTATTGCGTGTTGATTGCCCGGATGCAAGCTTTAAATTTTGTTTTGCTGAGTGATGTTTTTTTGCATATGAACCTTTCTTTGCCATTGCTCCTAGGTAGAAATCACAGTCACAGCTATGCTTTCTTGCATTTTATTTAGATGTCAGTTGCAAATTAATGGTGTGGTGTTTTTTTAGGTTTGAGCCAATTCGGTTTTTTGTAAAACTATCAAATACTGGAGTTTTGTGTTTTGAGGTTTGAGCCAACTGGGCTTTCCATGGCATGTAAATTATCAAATACTGGAGTTTTGTGTGTTTATTTGTGCTTAGAGCCAAGTAATTAGCTTTTGACCAGTTTGATATTGATATTCCACTAGAATGCATATCCAGCGTTCATTTGCAGAATCCTATATTATTTTCGAGTTTTGAACCATTCCTTTTACGATCATATTGGAAATCATGTGATAGATAGTGTAAAGATGTGTGAATCTGTGAAAAAAATACGTCAACTGTCGTGTATGAATCATGAGTTCGTAACTATAGTTGTTAAGACAGTTCCTTTGTGATCTATAATTGTAAAAAACATCAATAGACTTTTTTATTGAAGTCACACATGCCTATGGAAAGCATGTATAGTTGATCTCTTATAATCTTTATCTTTATATGTATAAGTCTATTGATCTTTTGAATCTTTATATGCATAAAGTCTCTTTCTCAATGCCTATGGAAAGCAGGTATGGTTGATCTTTAGAATCTTTATATGTATAGTCTCTTTCTCAAGTCTTTGCATATGAAATCACTATCATACTCCTTTTGTAGTTCATAAGATTAGATGTAAGTTATCCTTATTCAAGTTGTCGAGTGGTTAATTTGCATTTGCCCATGTTTTACCATCTTTTGCTGTCCATGAAATCTCTGTGTGTTTTACTAGCTACAAATTTGCAATCCTAACTTGTAACATCTGCCTTTACACAAGCATCCATTTGATGAGTTTGTGATATTATGCTGATACACTTTGATTTTTGTGACCTTTATTCTACTTTTTAACATGTTTGTGCCAATTTGGGCCCTTTGCATTTATGTTTCTGGTGGTGGCTTTAGATCTGCTCAATTGCTCGAGTTTGTGTATTTTCAATTCTTGAAAGTTAAATGGTAAATCAGACCAAGAATGAAAATCAAAACTTATTTCATACTTTTGTGTAGTAGTGTTCTGTATACTGCTTTTAAAATATGTTGTTTGTGTATGAAAGTAATCATATTTCTTAATTAAATATTTAGATCTTTTAAAATATTGCTTATTAATTAAATATTTAGATCTTTTAAAATATGTTGTTTGTGTATGAAAGTACGTAGATTTATTAGTTGAATAGAATTAATTAATACTTCAATCTGGCTAACACCAGCTTATTGATAATTTCGAAGAATATCCATTCAATAAGAAAATAAACAATACAGAGTTTTCAGCCATCAGGCATATCAGAGTCATAACAAGTACATACAAACTGACAAATAAACCAACCTGTCAAAGGAGGCAGAGGCATAAACACAAAGAAGGGGAGACCTCTATTGAGAAGGCCTAGCAAGGGATGAAGGGACTTAAGGTTTCTCTATTGGGCAGTATAGGATACGGAGGCCTTTAGGTTCTATTGAGAAGGCCTAGCAAGGGATGAAGGGACTTAAGGTTTCTCTATTGGGCAGTATAGGATACGGAGGCCTTTAGGTTAACCACTTGTCGAAAAAAAATACAAACCAGCCACTGCAATAAGCCTAGCTAGCAAGAATAAAGAACAAAGCAGGACTAGATTAACATGAGGAATCTGAAAACTCTAACCAGTCAGAACATGCATAGTCTGCAATTGCCTTTTCATGCTGCCATTACCTTTTGAAGACCCAGAAGTTCCTAGCCTTCCATAACCACTGTAACGCCCCAATCAATTTTTAAAGAAAATCCATGACTTTTTCAAAAATCAAGGTAAAATTTTCGAAACTTATCTTTCGAATCATAAACTTTGGCGTTACTCATTCTTTTCAAAATCACAGTTCAAATCATAACTGAACTACGGGGATTCATTACCCAATTTTTCAACGGTTTTCATTAACCACAATAAATGATAATTTAACATCAGATCATACTCAATCATATATCAAGTAGGGTTTTCAACATAAACCAAACCCAATGTTTTCAAAATAAACGAGTTTCAATACGCAATCCAACTTATTCCAAATAAGCAACATAAGCAATGAAGTCAATCTAACATGAGTTCATAAAATGAGCGGAAGCAAATAAATAAATAATGATAAAGGCAAGACCACCACTCGCCCAGCCTCGTCACGCGCCGCTGCTTAACCTGCATCAGTTACGAGCAGGTGGGAGTGAGTACAGTTAAATATCGTACTCACACTATGCAATGCACATTTCATAATATGTCAAATTGGCATGATCGCTGCATGAACACAAACAATACACATATGTCACATCTCCATCATAACATAAATACTCCTGTGCACATCTTTCATAATAGTCGCGGAAAGGGGATTCATTACCCTAACGGCGAGAGTACGTGCCACGCAAGGACACGGCCTTTCATAATAGGTCTTTACGGAGACTTGCCTCATAAGGCAACCGTATTACATCGACGGGGACAACCGTAACGATGGCCATCATAATAGCTCACATCGATAGGCTACATATTCACGTTCATACATAGATCACGCCAAAACGGAAACACATATTTAAACACACATTGCACATATAATTTTAGAATAACAACCCACCTGGAAATCGAGGTAGGATATCACACTGAAATAGCTGGTACGTAAGTTGAGGGCTCGACTACTCAAACACCTACATTTAAGCGAGATAATAATTAATAATTTATCTCACTACTCGGAATTAATATATAAATCACACTTAATCAAAAATTAAGGTTTAAAGGATTTTATCGGATTTTTCGCGGACTTGGAACTCCCACATTTTTAAAAGAAAAGACTCGGGGAACAAAAATAGAGTCTCGGGACTTAAAATAATTTTTCCCAAATTTTTCTTATTTGAAAATATTTTTAGAATTGAAATCGGTATTAAAATGGGCTTCTAGAACTCAAAATAGTAAAAAGGGGCGCGCTTGGACTGCTATCTGAGAATTGGGCTAGAAATAGTACGAAAATGGGCCAGGCCCGCACGCAATTGGGCCACTAAAATGGCCTGCTCACAGGCTAAGGGCTGGCGGGCCAGAATTGAGGGTGAGCGCGGGCCGTGCGCGGGCTGGGAGAAAAAATGAGAAAAGAAGTTGGTGGTGCTAAGGGTGGGGTTCGAACACGAAACCTCACTTGCGGAATAGAACACTGGACGCCACTACACCACACGGATAACTTGTGAATATACAAGAATTTGTGGCTACTAAAATCAAAACTCAAACCTGCAAATTCACCAACAAAATTTTCTGTACACGACTGAACAGAGGGTGCGAATATGTGAACAGATCTGACAAAAAAATCAACAAAATTCACGACGACATACCCAACGGCAACCAGGTTTTTGAGAAGCTAATAAATTTACGAAATTAACACATTTATCAGAGTTTTGAAACATTTTATAAAATCTGATTTAGGGGCGGAAAACGACACAGATGGCTCGAACAATTCGAACACCAATAACAGGACGACGGCTTCACTATGCGATTTAATTAGCAGCAGCTAACGAGACTTAATCACAACAAATCAGGACTCGATAATTCGCAAACGAGGGTAGAGACGAGAGTTCCGATACCCACGAGAATTTCACGGAAAAATCATCACGAAATGAAACAATTATACAAACTGGGAATATATAATTCAACCCAAAACCGACGAATAACGATTCAACGAACTAACGAACATGATGATAAACACGAAATAATCGAACGATTTCAAACCCGAACAACAATTTACGAGAAGGCTTAAATCGAAGAATACCTTTCTTCGAGAATTAAACTTGGAGGGGAAACAGACGGGATGAACGGAGGCTCGAAAAACTCGACGGGCGGACTGTGAAAACACACGACCTGCTGCTCCAATGGATGATGGCGGCGACAGTGCTGTTGGTCGGGGGTTGGCTCGCCGGAGAGAAGGTGCAACTGAAGAAATTTTTCTCTTTTTTTTTTGAAACGGAAACAGGCTTGCGATTGAGAACGAGGGAGAGAAGAGATGAGTGAAAGAAAAATTATCTGCTGGCCGAGATATAGAAGACGAAATAGAGATATGCGCGAACGTGCGAGATTCTCACCTGAAGAATCGCGACAGATTTGCTGCTGATGAAGAAG